CCCCCCCCCCCCCCCAAACCACCTAGTCCTCAAGGTGGAGGATCTCACTTACATTTTTGGACGAGAGAAAAACTGTTGAAGAAAAGAAGTCGGGTACCCAGTGACCAGTTTCCAACGGACTTGTTTGCCAGAGTGAGGTTAGAAAGAATATGACACGAAACGAAGTATCGGTCCAACCGCTCCAATAAAAACAGGGCGCTCCAACTTGATAATAGTAGTGAGATCATTCATTTTGGTTGCATGAGACACAATTGAAACAAGCGGCTAATGGCTATATGTTGCAATGAGACATCCTACTATTTGGTCCTTTATAATGACCACATCACCCAACACACTTGTACCAAAAAATCATGAGATGTAAAATGTGGCTCGTAAGGCAATGCGTCATCTCCAACAATAGCACCACCATCTTCACCCACGTTATCAAACTCACCATTCATGACATCATCAACGTGTGATTCACCAATTGGGCCCTCTATTTCACTAGCACCCTTTTCAGCAAGAACAAAGTGCATGACTGCTTCTTTTACTTTTTCATTAAGCGTATCTCCGACCCTTATTTGTGTCTTCTCAATTAGATCATAATCCACACAATCCAAATTATAAAAAGGAGCGAATCAAATCTTGAACTTCTTGAGAAAATCATCCCAACCATCAAGCATGTCGTTGTTCCAACGCCAACGGAACCAATTAGCCGCAGGGCCCTCTAACCACAACACCACACGATGCATACGATCATCTAAAGGGATCTCACAAAGCTAGAAATACTTAGATACCTTGAATAACCTCCACAAGGGTGCGGTCCCGTCCCATTTTGGGGGCAATCCTAGCGGAGAAAATGGAGAATCAATGTGATTTCTTATAGTGCTCATCATGTTGTTCTGAAAGTTTGTATTTCCAAAAGGATTTGACTAAGCAGAATTGGAGGATAACTAACCAAATCTTATATCGAACAAGAGACTTCTATGTCAAACACATATAGATCATAATTTTGTTGACCTGTAATATAACGAAATGCCTAGAATTTCTTTATAATTTCATCCACGTGATCATAAACCGCACATATCCTTCGTCTAACACAATATTTCCATAAACAACATTCTCCAACACATAAAAAAGTTCATCTAACTCAAAGTTCATCATCGTAATAAAGGAGGAGATCGGCAAGGTATGCGTGTATGGAGTGTTCCCTCCCGTGTAAATCTTTAATTCATAGAGGCAAGGAGGTCTTGAGGCTGGTGCGAAGTGACTAGCCTTGAGGTCTTGAGGCAAGGAGGTCTTGAGGTCTTGAGGTCTTGAGGCTGTTTGCTGGATTGCGGCAAAAAGCCCGAAAGGTTTAGTGGGGGCATCACTTTCGAAAGTCAGTTGAATTGCCCATTCTAATAGCAAACTAAGTACTGGTTTGCCAAATTAAAATATGTGCGGTCGTGCGGAGCAAGATTGACAGCAAACATAGCGTAATCGGAAGAACGGACGCGATTTCTTTACGTTTTTTAGTTTTTTTGTGTTAAAACAAATGAAACCACCAATTGATACAAATTTCGTGTCGGATTTGGAAAACTTCAAGCTCGAAAATAGGAGCCAAAAAAAGATAGAAAACTTTGATTATTTCCAGACTCCAAAGAAAAGAAAAAAAGAGATCAGGGTATATGATAACTCTTGATTAATGATATTCTAAACAAAAGTACGTCTCTATTTATATTAGCGAGATGAAAACCTTAGCTAACCCTAGTAAATCCTAATTGTTAGTCATGTCTTCTGCTCACCTAATACAAATTACCCCTCCGTCCCAATTTAAGTTCCATGTTTACTATTCACATGATTAAATTTTAATCTCTTTTTTGTTCATTTTCGTTACTCATTTGGTAAAATAATATAGGTATGTTAATTGTTACCTCTTATTTTTAATAACTTTTGATCTAGGTTTTTAATATATTTATTTTTTAATTCCATCCCAATTTTTATTAGAATTCATTTAAAAAATAACTTTAGTCAAACATCGTAACCACCAATAAGCAACTTAAAATAGGACAGAGAGAGAAGATTAAAATAAATACTCCGTATTAAATTAGAAATACTCTCTATTAAATACAAACTACTCCGGTAACTAGTAAATAATTAATCAAATAATCTAATCTACTATCGTTATCAAAGTGTCAGATACACTTTGTGTACTACGTGTAATAGCTTAATACTATTTATTTTAAAATACTCTGTAATACTTTATGTATTACGTACTCCGTAAAATAAATGTATTAATGTGGAATTAATTTTATAAATGTGAAATTTGTACTGCAATCCTTTTTCCCCCAATTTCTCTATATTCCTTCCACATCCCCATACCCCAATTATTCATATAATTTCATTATGAACAGGGCAAACTTGTTTTTCTACTTATTTCTATGAATCATTTGTTAAAATAATAAGTCGTGTCACATTTTTTTATACAAATTGATGTATGGTGCAATGTACTCCCTTCATTCCAAATTAAATTGCATGTTTACTATTTATAGGGTCAAACTTTATTCACTTTCTTTCTTTATTTTCGTTAGTCATACTACTAGTTTTTTAGATCTTTTGATGTAGTATATAATATGTGATTTTTATTTTTTATTTCTATATCGATTTTCATATAAAATTATTTGAAAATGAAGTTAAACATCGTAAACCAAAACAGACAATACAAATTAGGACGGAGGGAGTAATAGTTTATCGAAATAGACACTTTCTGTGTCACTATATAATTTGGATAGTTTGACTTCACGTAATTTGACAAAAATGTTGGAAATTAAGGTTAAAATGAGTAGTTGAAATTATTTTAGAAGGAAAAAAAGTGTACTAATATCTTTTACTTTATTTGAAAACTAAACATTTGTTCCAATCAACCCAAAAAAGGACAATGTAGTGATTAATTTTGGATGGAGGTGGTAAATTTTATTTTAAAATTTTGCACTAAATCATTTTTAAATAAGATTAATTGAAAATAAACTTAATCAAAGTGTATTATAAAATCACAATTAATTTGAGATAACAGAGGAGATATGTACCGAGGTGTTCCGACCACGCCGTCAATGATCACGTGAGCTACGTGTATCCCTTGAGGTTGAAACTCTCTAGCTAAGCACTGTGATAAGGCACGCAATGCAAATTTTCCACAACCTAATGCACAAATCAATTGAATATATATTTTCAAATTATAATAAAGCATCTCAATTTTTTCTTTAAGATAATAGTGTAATTATTCCTCATTTTTAACAAAAAAACTAGAAATATACCAAATTTGGCACTAATTCGATGCATAGAACAATATCGAGAGTATGTGGTGTGTAAAAAAAGATAACCTTTTGCATCGCATACTCCAACTTTGGTGCAAAAATGCTAAAAAAAGTTGGTAAATCAGAAGTTGCCCCTCATTTTCTACCTTAATGCTTTCATAGAGATAACGTATATGTGATGTCTGTAAAAGCATTAGAGTCAAAAGTATGATGTTACTTTTCATGGCTCAATAATGGTGGTCTACACCTAACAATCTAAAATGAGTAATGCAGGGTAGGTGTACCTCATTTGTACACCACCAAACTCTTCGCCACACATTTCTTATTCATTTTTCTCTGTTCATATCCACATCAAGAAATGTGGGGTGAAGAACATGTTGGTGTACAATTGAAGTACAGTTTTGGTGTACTCCTAGCCTTATTATCTAACATTGCTCTTTGAAGTACCATTCCCAATGAGTACCTTGTTGGTACCATTCCCTACATTCCCAATGACGTTGGTACCTTGTTGGTACCTTATAGTGTAACATAGGTAACATAGTGAAACGAACAACAAACATAGTGACACATAGTTCGACCAACTTCGTACCTTTTCCCTATTCCTTTCACTCAACTCAATAATAAATCCAATCAGAAATCATAAAGAAATCATAAGAGAAGCAAAGTTCACAGAAGGTTGGGAATAGAGTACGCCCGGTTCACCAGGTTCTACCACTGCAGGGCCCAATCATACTCAAAAGAAGAGTTTGATCCTGGCTCAGAAGGAACGCTAGCTATATGGCAGATCATCTTATTCGTTGTTGAACATAGTTCAACGTTTGAAACGAAATGAGTTGAACTATGTTCAACGAACATAGTGAAACGAATCTCTGTTCTCTGTTCTATAGCTACTTCGTACCTATTTCGTTACACTCATTTCGTACCTTTGCTCTTTCCCCGCCTCAGTTGACTTAACTGCTTGAGCAGCCCGATCAATTCATGAATACAGGGAAGTGGGAACGCAGATGATCGGGAATCTTATTGAGGAGAGCGATAAAGGCACAGAGGGGTCAAATCTGTAAGGCTATTACGTATTAACAACCTGTCAAAGTCTACTGGGAATACTGGGAATGTAGAAGTCTATTATTTATGTATGAAGTCTCCTACTGGCTTGCTTGCCATCTCTCTTGGTCCTGCCGAGGGGAAGGGATGGGGAACGAACGCATTAGTTGTGCCTACTGCCTCCCGGGGCTAGGCGTAGCAACGAACGAATAGGGGTAAGAGGGTGGGGGCCACTCGGATCGGATTCAAGGAAGGGGTCGAGAGCTTGGATCCAGGTCATTGCTACGCTCGTTCGTACTCCTTGATGGAACAGCCGACGGGCGCGGGTTTGGGACAAGGAGATGCCCTAGCATCGGAAGAGATAAGAGGTAGGGTTGGGCCAGTTGGTGCTAGCAGCCAGGAGAGAGAAAGAGATGATTGGTTGAAAGGCCCTGGCATAGGAAGAAAGAATTGGTGG